GTAAGGTGTGCCTCGCTCGCGCGAGTCGCGCCACACATACACACTCCCTCCCGGTCCTCCCGATGGCCAGTCCGGGCCTGCCAGTGAGCGTGGAAGTGTGGTCTGCCACAAGCGGGCGGCAGGAGCGGGGCTGTCAGCATCAGCTTGTCGATGGTATTTTACACTCGATGCGCTCTGAAACTACGGCGGCCGAGGACAAAAAATACACATGCGTTAATCGCGTTAAAATAATTAGTGGCGTTAATTTTTTTTTGCGTTAACGCGTTATTAACGCGTTAACTTGACAGCCCTAATTTTTAACTGTTGTTATAGAAGAGTGTGACGGCCCCAGGGCCTTTGTCTTACGATGGGGTGGAGCTGAAGAGGCTAATCAGCACGATCACGGACACCTCCGGACACTACGGCCCCAGTCTCTCTCCAAAGCGGCTGCAGGAAGACTAACTCTGCGATCCTCTCAACCACCTATCTCTGCATTTACCACAATAAATGTGCCGTGGTTTTGTAAACTCGTGTATGTCTCCTTGTCTTTGTGGCCTACGAGCCGCTCATAACAAAGAGTAAGTTATTTTTACCCGTTATAAACTACTACTGTTTGATGAGAAATCAAATCATGGTTTGCTATATGAATTCAGGGAAGAAAGGATAGGCCTACTAAGTATTTCCATTAAACTTTATTTTTAGAAATGTACAAAATGAACATAAATATACATATATACACGGGAATCATTCATTCCTCCTCCTCGCATCTTGCCTGCGCACAGTCGGTGCGGTGCCTTTTAGCACGACGCCTCAGTAGTAGTAGAAGTGCCTTTTAGCACGTCATGGATTGTCCGCCAGGATCTGGCTGGACGAAATCAAATGCAAATCACAAAATATTAGAGAAACTTAGTTGTTTTAGATTCGTTAGTAGTAGTTGTGTAATGAACAGCTTGCCTGCTAATATGCTAACCTAGCTTTGTTTACCTTGGTAGCTAACACGATATGAACGTTAGCTTGGAGGAAAGGCAACTATAATGCAGTGTAATAAAACTACTATGAACAAAAGCTAGTGGTTCATATTAGGCTAGCAATAACGTGTTTATAATTGCAATCGTATACGGGTATTCTGCTACCATACAATGTAACTTGCATTACATTGTTTTGCACTAGCATACAGCTAGCCTCGTTAGCTACATGCAGTATATGTACGGTCACAATGTACGGTAAATCACAGTACAGTATACTGTATGAGTATTCCGTGTGTGTGAATGCAGACATTCTCCTGCTATGAGATACATGTATGCAAGGCCATCTGCTGATATTAGAGTTGATATATGGAAACTCTAGCAACTTAGTTAGCACAGTTAGCACTGTGTCAATGGCTTAGCAGTCCAACACAGTTTACACATTTAAACAGTCTTGTTGATAAATACACAAATAACAATGCAAACTTACAGGTTGTATACCCAGATCTTCCCCTGCTCCAAACGGTCCAAACAAGCTGTGCATATCCGGCCTCAAACTGGGCAATGTTTTGGAAGCTTTCGTCTGTGAAATGCCGGTTCTTCGAACCTCTGGAGGAGGAACACGCCGCTGCTGGTGTGGCCATAGCTCTTCGGGATTGGTCCATTTCGTTCCGGGTACCGCATGACATCAGGCGGTACCCGGAACTAAATGGAAGACTCAAATGGGCAGTGACGTATCTCCAACGAGGCGTTTTGGGGAGGTATTTTCTGTGTTAGAGTTTTACTCGCTACAGGGTGTACTTTGAGGGTTTTGACTCTGCACACCGTTTACATGCATAAAAACCTTCATAACACACAAGGGGACGGGTAATAACCGGAAAAGCATGACATGGGAGCTTTAACACTTGTCTATTTCGTTTTAACCTTTATATTAGGGCTGTCAAGTTAACGCGTTAATAACGCGTTAACGCAAAAAAAAATTAACGCCACTAATTATTTTAACGCGATTAACGCATGTGTATTTTTTGTCCTCGGCCGCCCCGTAGTTTCAGAGCGCATCGAGTTTAAAATACCATCTACAAGCTGATGCTGACAGCCTCGCTCCTCCCGCCCGCTTGTGGCAGACCACACTTCCACGCTCACCGGCAGGCCCGGACTGGCCATCGGGAGGACCGGGAGGGTGTGTGTATGTGTGGGGCGACTCGCGCGAGCGAGGCACACCTTACGTGTTGTTGTTGTTAGCATCTGGTGCTAGCTAGCTGCGCTAACGGATATAAGGAGCTGTTTCAATGACATTTCGCCGACAACTGCGCCGAGCACTTGACTTTATGCAGGCAGCCAGACAGTGGGACATTGTACGAAAAGTCAGCACACTCAGCACGGATAGTATGCGCAACATGATTGCAGCTCCCGTTCGAGCATATATGCCTTGAGCTGCACATACTGTAGCTCCAACGATCCATCACAGTGTCTACACACACACACACACACACACACACACACACACACACACACACACACACACACACACACACACACACACACACGCACTTTGTATTGTATTATTGTATGAGAGAGGTTCCAGGTTGAATTGAGGCGAATATTTGTAATGTTCAGAGGTTGTTGTGTTTAATATTCATGAGAATATTTGTCATTGTTCAAATGATAATAAACAAACATATAAAGCATATTTGTCCACTCATATGTTGATAAGAGTATTAAAAACTTGAAAAATATCCCTCTAAGGTACATTTAGAACAGATACAAAATGTGCGATTAATTTGCGATTAATCGCGATTAACTATGGACTATCATGCGATTAATCGCGATTAAATATTTTAATCGACTGACAGCCCTACTTTATATATACAGTCTATGGTTTTAAGTTAACTTGGAGGCTAAGATTAGCATCGTTAGCACCGATGTAGCTACCACTCGCTTACACGCTAACACATTCATTACGTAGCTGATTAAAATCATAAACACATAAATAAAATACTCGAATTTCACTTACCACAAAACGGCATTCATGCGCCGTCTGTTTTAACCGCAGAGCGAGTCACAATAGTCCCATATATAAGCATGAAGAACAAACAAACACGGCCGGGGTCAAGTTGTGTTCCCTGGATGAACTGAGCAGGCAGAGTCCCTGTAGCTTCACGGAGACGGAGCAGCTAGCAGAGAGACAAGAAGCTAACAGCAGCAGTGTCTTGACAGAGCTGTCACTCAATGTGACCACGCCCTAATTTATGCATAAACTTTAAGACCTAATATAAATAAAAGGGTCATGTTAGAAAACAATTCACTCACAGATCCATAATCATGAAGGTGGAATCTAACTATATACATAATAATATTTATTGCATCCAGGGCTAGAAACGTTTTTTTTCTGCTGTGAAATCGGGCATTTTAACATGGGGGTCTATGGATATTGCTCCTTTCTGCAGTCATCGCCTATCGGCCAATATATGAACTGCAGTTTGTGGCACTTCCGTATTGGCGTCCCGGCTCTTCCCCAGAGTTTGCCGCTTGGTGTAAACACAGGGCTGTAGATGCAGAGCTGATAGAAGAGACAGCAGTGTTTTAATACACACATCTTTATTACAACACACAGATCGAAGCTTCTGAACGACCTTCACAAAAACAACCTAAAATAAGTCAAATTAAAAACCCCAAAATATCATAAAGGCAAAAGTGTGACAAACAATATTTGCAAAATGTAAAATAAATATAAAGTCATATTTAACCTGTTCCACCCCGAGCCTGTTTTTCAGGTCTCAGGCTCGAAAATGACATTCCCAGAACAAATGACCATATCTTCCCTTCTAAAAGGGTTAAATTAATAATCTTTGTTCTCAAAGTAATGATAAACCTGTGAGTTGGATGTAGAAAAGTCAGAATCAATATAGATGTTTTTTATTTTAAAGAAAATTCAGATTGAACATAGTAAAAAACTGTAAATGATAGTGTCCGTCCAAAAATTCTTTTTTACTTATAGTGAAAACTACCCTTGGATGATGGGTTAGTAGACTAAAAGCTTTAGGAATCCAAAGTACAACATATAATAAGTACCCTGTATCAAGATTGATGCAAAACAAGTGACATTTGACCTTTTTAGAGAGATTTAGCAAAAAAACCCCACTTCTGGGGTCATTTGGGTGGATTTGACCTATCTCTGGCCCCCCTTGCTCGATTTTGATGAATGAAATCTCTTTATAACCGCTAGAGCCAATGGAATCGAGGGAAAGTTCTACACACACAAACACGTTACCAAATAAGGAGTGAGTGATGCGTGGCCAAAACCGGAAGCTGCATACTCTGGTGGCTACCATTAGCAGCTAACTTTTCTGCTCCGATTTTTACATAAAAATGGAATTATGGATTATAAATGATTTTTTCAAATCGACAGACACATTATTAACCTATGGATTAACCGATTCAGCCTCTTTTTTCTCGTTTTAATGCCATTGAACACGTCTTTTGATCAGATTGACAGCTACGGTGAGACGATCTCCCGTAAAAGCTCCGTAAAGGTACGTGTTGTGATGTCTGTGTTTGCTTCCCCTGTCGCAAGTTCGGATCGCTCAGTGATGATACTATAACTATATAATCTTTGGAGTCTCAGCTTTAATCGGATATATTGTATGTGCAGTTACGATAAGTAATAAGGGTATCTTTATCTTGAGTTGTGTGCTACACTGCGTGAGCATTTTTTCGCTTAGTGCTAATTCAGAGGCTTGGTATTACCCTTGTGTTTTTTTTTTGGTAAAAAGGGTTCATATCTTCAGTTAGCTGAGATTCTTCCCGTTAATCTGGTGCTACACATTAATAGTTTCATAAATGTTAAGAAGCCCTGAGACACAGTTTTTTCGAAAAAAAACGGTGGGGGGGGGGGGGTCCACTGGGGGGACCGTCGTCCTTAAGAGGTTAAATAAAAAGTGTGTTTTTAGTTTAAATGATTTCTCTGTTTTGATGAAAGTGTTTTAAGGAGAGATAATGAACAGCTGTTATATATAGGGTTATAACGTCTGTAGTGGAGTCACCTGTCCAGCAGAGGGCGCTGCAGGGCACAAGCCTCCTGGAGAAGCACTATGTATGTATATATATATATATATATATATATGTATATCTGTTATCCTGCAGGACGTTCTGTGACTCTTCAGGACGATGTGTCTCTTCAGGCTGGTCAGAGATCTGTTTGTTCTGATCAATAACATGCCGTTCATCACAGTATTAGTACATTCATGAGGAATATAATGAAGTACATTTACTCAAGTACTCTACTCTTTGAGGTACTTGTACTCTCCTCTTTGAGGTACTTGTACTCTACTCTACTTGTACTCTACTCTTTGAGGTACTTGTACTCTACCTGAGTATTTGATAACTTTATATCTGACGATCAGATTATTATCTAATAGAAACTGCACAGGCATTATATTATTATTTAGAAGTTAAACATTCAATCTGTGCCGTCTTTATTTACAGATATTTAGGACAGGAGAGGACAGGAGAGGACAGGAGAGGACAGGAGGGGACAGGAGAGGACAGGAGAGGACAGGAGGATTTGTCCTCCTCTCTGGTGCTCAGCGCAAGATTCAGATTTCCTGTTTGCTTTCTTTACTTCTGTCGCAGGTGATGGAGAAGAATAAGAGGGCCCTCGCTGCAGAGACAGTCCTGATCCGGGGGACAGACGGGGGACAGATGGGGGTCTCAGTCGTTCTCGTTGCTGTGGTTGGTCCTCTGGTCCCCCGTCCTCTCCGTCCTCTCCGTCCTCTCCGTCCTCTCCGTCCTCTCCGTCCTCTCCGTCCTCTCCGTCCTCTCCGTCCTCTCCGTCCTCTCCGTCCGTCCTCTCCTCTCCTCTCGGGGGACAGACGGGGTCTCAGTCGTCCTCGTCGCTGTGGTTGGTCCTCTCGTCCCCCGTCCTCTCCGTCCTCTCCTCGCTGGCGGAGCTCTCGTCGATGTTCTGCAGAGAGTCGCATCGCTGCAGGGACAGACGCTCCGAGGAGACGCCGGGGAGGACGCTCTGATCCGGGAACAGCCAGGGCCGAAGACCAGGACCATGTCTCCTCTTCCAGTCCGGGTACTTCAGGGACGCCTTGTAGATCCTGCGCATGGCCTGAGGACGAGAGGACGAGGGGGACATGAGGGGGCAGGAGAGGACAGGAGAAGACAGGAGAGGACAGGAGGGGAGACGAGAGGACAGGAGAGGTCATCACACCAGAGGCCTGTACGACGAAGCCGGTTCAACATAACCTGGATATGTTTGAGTTAGCCGGTTGGCCTAATCCAAAACAAACGCGCTCTCGCTAAACTGTCCTACGACGCTGGTTATCAACTCGTTAACTCAAGCCAGCCGTGTCCTATCTAGTTAGGTGCGCGTTCACATGAAAGGGGTGGTATTTGGAGCATTCGACCAATCACAAACATGGAGAAGCGTACTGACAGCGCAGCGTCATACTTCCTGAATGAAAAGTGAACTTTAATATTAGTCAAATATGAAGAAGTTAAACTTTAAACATCCATGACTTAAACACTTTATCCAGGATCAAAGCCACATAGCTGCACCTGCAAGGTGAATACAGCTGGTAAAAGAAAAAGTGTTTGAATGCGTACATTAACAGGTTTATGAAATCACTGCCCCGTCCAAGACACGATCTGACTTTAATTACATTTGACTCGAGTGTTTCGTCAACTTAATGTGTTGCTTAAAATAATACTTCTGCATACAGTATGTGACACTGTGAGTGTTGCACGGCCAGATACGGCTCAGCTGACTCGGATAAGGAAATATATGATACATTATGATGTGATATGATATGAATGATAATGGGACACATCAACGTCTGCACTCACAGTGCCGCGGACTGTACTTAATGTTACTCTGATCCGGTTACTTATGTTGTGGCAGATATTTAAGTAAGCTTTCTTAACGCTAATGTTATAATAGTCAGATTGCTCTGAAGATGGGAGGTGATATTCTATTAATGTTCACGTTCACACAGTCGGTGATTCTTGCCGGCCGTCTTTCCTGCAACGGTAGTTTTTCTGTATTTCCTCTATCCTGTAATATGACTTGATAGCTTTAAACTCCGCACACTGAGCTCTGATTGGTCAGCAGGCGGTGCTTTCACTGAGTTGATCTCTTAGCCTGCCACCTAACCTGCTCCGGACCAGGTTAGCCGCTCAGCATAAGTTACCATGGAGATCTAGCCCGCTAAAAAGAGAACCAGCGTCGTAGGACCGGAAACCCTGAAGTTAGCTCGCTAAGCGAAAATCCGGCTTCGTCGTACAGGCCTCTGGTTACAGTACAACGTATTCAAACCACAGAAGAATACTTTACCTTCGGGGCCACCAACTGAGACGCTCTGTTCACGACCCACTTAGGTAACGAACCTGCAGAGACAACAGAACCAGGATCAGAACCAGGACCAGAACCAGGATCAGATCCAGGACCAGGACCAGGATCAGATCCAGGACCAGAACCAGGATCAGAACCAGGATCAGAACCAGAACAAGGATCAGATCCTTTTTTTCGTTCCACTGAGGGAATTTTTACGTTGTTACAACAAAGTGTAGATAGAGACGAAGGAAATAGAACACGGTTATATAAAAAGGAACATTAGAGGAACACGTTCAGGTCGAGAGGATAACTGTGAAGTGTGGTCTATACAGAAAGGGTTATCAAGTGGTTCCACTGGTTCCACTGGTTCCTTATTGACTGGGTAAATCAGAGGTTCTGTGGGGGTCCCACCTTTGGGGTCCATCTGGGTCAGGTAGTAGAGGGTGGAGCTGCTGGGTCCGTTAGACTGGATCAGATACCCCGTCAGCAGGGACACCGCCCGCACAAAGTCCTTCTTAGGGGGGTGGTCCTGAGGACAGTTATCGTTTATTAAAGACGTGTGTTTGTTGTTGTTTATTATAGACGTGTGTGTTGTTGTTTATTATAGACGTGTGTGTTGTTGTTTATTATAGACGTGTGTGTGTTGTTGTTTATTAGAGACGTGTGTGTTGTTGTTTATTATAGACGTGTGTGTTGTTGTTTATTAGAGACGTGTGTGTGTTGTTGTTTATTATAGACGTGTGTGTGTTGTTGTTTATTATAGACGTGTGTGTTGTTGTTTATTAGAGACGTGTGTGTGTTGTTGTTTATTATAGACGTGCGTGTTGTTGTTTATTATAGACGTGTGTGTTGTTGTTTATTATAGACGTGTGTGTGTTGTTGTTTATTATAGACGTGTGTGTTGTTGTTTATTATAGACGTGTGTGTGTTGTTGTTTATTATAGACGTGTGTGTTGTTGTTTATTATAGACGTGTGTGTTGTTGTTTATTATAGACGTGCGTGTTGTTGTTTATTATAGACGTGTGTGTTGTTGTTTATTATAGACGTGTGTTTGTTGTTGTTTATTATAGACGTGTGTTTGTTGTTGTTTATTATAGACGTGTGTGTTGTTGTTTATTATAGACGTGTGTGTTGTTGTTTATTATAGACGTGTGTGTGTTGTTTATTATAGACGTGCGTGTTGTTGTTTATTATAGACGTGTGTGTTGTTGTTTATTATAGACGTGTGTGTGTTGTTTATTATAGACGTGTGTTTGTTGTTGTTTATTATAGACGTGTGTGTTGTTGTTTATTATAGACGTGTGTGTTGTTGTTTATTATAGACGTGTGTGTTGTTGTTTATTATAGACGTGTGTGTGTTGTTTATTATAGACGTGTGTTTGTTGTTGTTTATTATAGACGTGCGTGTTGTTGTTTATTATAGACGTGTGTGTTGTTGTTTATTATAGACGTGTGTGTGTTGTTTATTATAGACGTGTGTGTGTTGTTGTTTATTATAGACGTGTGTTTTTGTTTATTATAGACGTGTGTGTTGTTGTTTATTATAGACGTGTGTGTTGTTGTTTATTATAGACGTGCGTGTTGTTGTTTATTATAGACGTGTGTGTTGTTGTTTATTATAGACGTGTGTGTGTTGTTTATTATAGACGTGTGTTTGTTGTTGTTTATTATAGACGTGTGTGTTGTTGTTTATTATAGACGTGTGTGTTGTTGTTTATTATAGACGTGTGTTTGTTGTTGTTTATTATAGACGTGTGTTTGTTGTTGTTTATTATAGACGTGTGTGTGTTGTTGTTTATTATAGACGTGTGTGTTGTTGTTTATTATAGACGTGTGTGTTGTTTATTATAGACGTGTGTGTTGTTGTTTATTATAGACGTGTGTGTTGTTGTTTATTATAGACGTGTGTGTGTTGTTTATTATAGACGTGTGTGTTGTTGTTTATTATAGACGTGTGTGTTGTTGTTTATTATAGACGTGTGTGTTGTTGTTTATTATAGACGTGTGTGTTGTTGTTTATTATAGACGTGCATGTTGTTGTTGTCTCACCGGGTGTTTGACTGAGTAGTTGATGATCAGGAAGTCGTTCCCCAGAGGAAGCCAAGACCTCATCGTCACAAAGTCCCTGTTCTTCAGAGGACTGGGACACCTCCCTACACACACACAGACACACACAGACACACACACACACACACACACACACACACACACACACACACACACACACACACACACACACACACACACACACACACACACACACACACACATTAGCATGCAGTGACGCTCTCCTCCTGTGGGGGCAGTGTCAGACCTACAGGAGTAGTATCCCACGTCGGTGTTGGCGGTCAGCCTCCCGATGTCGTACGTCTCGATCATGTTGCTGTCCCACTTCCTGCGGTAGCTGGTGTCGTGGAGGACGTCGTACAGCGTCTCCGCGGACACGTCCTTACACACGATCCTCATCTGAGACACAGAGACACGTTAATAACCAACAGGAAGTCAGGAGAGATCAGCCGGAGACCTGAAGCTAACAGTGTAGCATCAGAGGCCTGTACTACGAAGCTGGATTTTCGCTTAGCCGGCTAACTTCAGGGAAATCTCGGGCTTTCCGGTCCTACGACGCTGGTTCTCTTTTTAGCAGGCTAGATTTCCATGGTAACTTATGCTGAGCGGCAAACCTGCTCCGGAGCAGGTTAGGTGGCAGGCTAAGAGATCAACTCAGTGAAAGCACCGCCTGCTGACCAATCAGAGCTCCGTGTGCGGAGTTTAAAGCGATCAATTCATATTACAGGATAGAGGAAATACAGAAAAACTGCCGTTGCAGGAAAGACGGCCGGCCAAAATCAACTGACTGTGTGAACGTGAAAATTAATAGAATATCCCCTCCCATCTTCAGAGCAATCTGACTATTATAACATTAGCGTTAAGAAAGCTTACTTAAATATCTGCCACGACATAAGTAACCGGATCAGAGTAACATTAAGTACAGTCCGCGGCACTGTGAGTGCAGACGTTGATGTGTCCCATTATCATTCATATCATATCACATCATAATGTATCATATATTTCCTTATTTGAGTCAGCTTCTTGAGCCGTATCTGGCCGTGCAACACTCACAGTGTCACATACTGTATGCAGAAGTATTATTTTAAGCAACACATTAAGTTGACGAAACACTCGAGTCAAATTCTCCTAATTAAAGTCAGATCCACTCGTGTCTTGGACGGGGCAGTGATTTCATAAACCTGTTAATGTACGCATTCAAACACTTTTTCTTTTACCAGCTGTATTCACCTTGCAGGTGCAGCTATGTGGCTTTTATCCTGGATAAAGTGTTTAAGTCATGGATGTTTAAAGTTTAACTTCTTCATATTTGACTAATATTAAAGTTCACTTTTCATTCAGGAAGTATGACGCTGCGCTGTCAGTACGCTTGTCCGTGTTTGAGATTGGTCGAATGCTCCAAATACCACCCCTTTCATGTGAACGCGCACCTAACTAGATAGGACACGGCTGGCTTGAGCGATCCACTTGATAACCAGCGTCGTAGTACAGTTTAGCCAGAGCGCGTATGTTTTGGATTGGGCCAACCGGCTAACTCAAACATATCCAGGTTAGGTTGAACCAGCTTCGTAGTACAGGCCTCAGGTAACCCTGAGGGTGAGCTAACGCTGTGGGGCTAACTCAAAGCCCTTTTCTCATATGTTTGGCTCGCCTAGGCTTTTTTTGTAGAAATGCTATTAAAACATGAACCCTGTGCTGCATAATCAAGTAATATACATGTTTCTTTTCATAACAAGCTAAGCTATCAGCATAGGTAGGCTACATGGATGTACACGTAGTTATGAGACCATAAGTACAAAAGAAAAAACAAGACGAAAATGTCATCACTCAGAAATGTAGTTCTGAGTAATGACATTGTATTCAAAACATGTGATGAAGGTGTGGCGCGCAGTGCGGACACTTTGGGCCGTTCTCATTTCATCAAATCCCCCTCCTCGGTCCTCCGGTAGTGACCCGGAAATGAATTTTAGCGCGCCATGTTGAAGGACATCTCATTTCTCTCAATGCACATCGAGGACCGAGCATCGAGCGTCGAGGAGGCTCTCTGGAGGAGCTATAACCGAGGATACACTGATGGGTCCTCCACGGTCCTCCACGGCTCCTTCGTGGATGCATTTCCGGCAACAGTGATGTTTCAAAGAGTCGTGACGCACGGCCGGACTTATCTCAGCCAATCACAGCTCTGCATGCATCCCCATGATATTATTTTAGTAACTGCTTTCATCGCGACGCGATGTTTACAGTGAGAACAGCTGTGAGGTCCGTGCAGAAAGCAGAGCAGTGTGTAAAATATATATCACTCAGTATAACAGGCCTACTCTCTTTATTTGCTTTAGTTTAGTAGATATCTACAAACAAAGAGTCCAGATTTTTTTCTAAAACCATTTAGTGCTTCACAAAATAAAATACACAACGGCTGTAGCCTGATTATGCTTTAGGAGCTGTAGGTGTGTGTGTGTGTGTGTGTGTGTGTGTGTGTGTGTGTGTGTGTGTGTGTGTCCGCATCTGTAGCCTGTTATTGTCTCATTATACCGCACTGTGAATGAATCAAAGTAAATATATAAGTCGTCATGAACACATCTGTCCATCAGACAGAGTGCTGCTGTGCCTCCTGTCATCATTAATGGACGTCTCTTTAAAATGACCGCTCAGAGGAGAGGAGTTCTCATCTCTCTAACCGCCTGCTGCTTCCCCTCCTCTCTCCTCGGTTCCCCTCCTCGGCTCCTCCGCTCGCATCTCCTGTGGGCGGGACTAAGTCTCGAGGATAGGAGTCGAGGAGGGGAGTCGAGGATAGGAGTCGAGGAGGGGAATTTGATGAAATGAGAACGGCCCTTTGTAGTCCCTCTGACAGCAGGTCATGTGATCCGCTCTGCAGGTCATGTGATCCGCTCTGATCACCAGATACTGAGGTCAGACGCTCCGTGTAACTCAATCAGCGTCTGGTTAATCTTTCATAAGGAGCTTCATGTCTCTGTCGTCATGTCTGTCCCTCGTCTCTCTGAAGAGCTGCTCAGTTCAAACGCCTGTTCCAGACCTCATGCATATTTATAAAGAGATATAATGAATGTTCCTCAGGGTTCTTTTACTCATTAGGACGGTCCGGGAGGAAGGGAGAACCATTTCAACCATTGATAGGAACCGCATGGTGAAACATGGACCGAAGAAGAAGAAGAAGAAGAAGAAGAAGAAGAAGCGCCTCGCTGCTCCTGAAAGACGCTCTGAATTAGTCAACATGTGTGTGTGTGTGTGTGTGTGTGTGTGTGTGTGTGTGTGTGTATGTGTGTGTGTGGGGACATACTCCTCTGTAACCGCAAAACACACACACTACACACACTACAGACACTACACACACTACACACTACACACACTACACACTACACACACTACAGACACTACACACACTACAGACACTACAGACACTACACACACTACAGACACTACACACACTACAGACACTACACACACTACACACACTACACACATTACACACACTACACACACTACATACACTACACACACTACACACACTACAGACACTACAGACACTACAGACACTACACTACACACACTACAGATACTACAGACACTACACACTACACACACTACACACACTGCAGACACTACACACTACACACACTACAGACACTACACACACTACAGACACTACAGACACTACACACACTACACACTACACACACTACACACACTACACACACTACAGACACTACAGACACTACACACACTACAGACACTACAGACACTACACACACAGTACACACACATACACACACACAAACACACACACGCTTGTCAGGTGCTAGTCTCTTCCATCAGGAGGAGCAGCTTAAGAAAGGATGCAGATATAAAAACCCAAATGTTCCTCATGAAGAAACATCTTCAGCAACACGTACAGCGTTTAGAGAACATTCAGCAGCTTCAGGAGACATGGCAGCGTTTACTGAAAGCTGCTGAAACCAAACGCTGAAGAAGCTCAGAACACAACGCAGACCAGGGGACACTAAAGAGTGACGCACACAGCTGGGAGACCAGGGGACACTAAAGAGTGACGCACACAGCTGGGAGACCAGGGGACACTAAAGAGTGACGCACACAGCTAGGAGACCAGGGGACACTAAAGAGTGACGCACACAGCTGGGAGACCAGGGGACACTAAAGAGTGACGCACACAGCTAGGAGACCAGGGGACACTAAAGAGTGACGCACACAGCTAGGAGACCAGGGGACACTAAAGAGTGACGCACACAGCTAGGAGACGAGGGGACACTAAAGAGTGACGCACACAGCTGGAGACCAGGGGACACTAAAGAGTGACGCACACAGCTGGGAGACCAGGGGACACTAAAGAGTGACGCACATTACTGCTTGGCTACTTCTCTGTTTCAGTGTGTGTACTCTGTATAAATGCTCTGGAGTTGATCTGATTGAAATTGTGATTTTAATCTCAAAACCGCTACAGTATTTTCAGGCAGAAATTTGGGGAAATTATTTTTGACAGAAACCTTAAAACTGAACTAACTGGCTGCTAGGGTTAACTTTGATTTAAACATTTACGTAGAATACTAAGAGCTTTATTGAGTACGGGTAACTGTATTAAGGGTTAAACTCATATATTTATAACTTAGTGTTTAATGTAATTTAGTGGGAATGCTGACACAGCATTCCAACTATCTGTTATGCTACGCACAAAATTCTTTATTATTCCGCCGGGTTATTTTCCGCTGCTTCTTGGCCCACATTGAACGTCGCAGAAACTCCGTTCAAACATCAAAACGTTCAGCTCAGTCGGGAATCGATGGCTATTACTTTGATCATTCATAACTTTCATAATTCCAGAGATACATCCCATAATACATCCAATTTTTAACATTGAAGTCAATGGAGAAACTCTTCAGACTTCAACAATCTTCATGCAACTTCAACTGCTAACTGTTCATTCATACTTTCACTCAGAAACCTCATTCCAACTTTAAAATGTTACACATTATTCGTGTAACACAACTTTTAAATCTGATTCTTACTTTTAGAAATATTAAACATTGTTCAGACCTTGGTAAAGAGGCCTTCTTCAGATTTTAGAGTGCGTGATGTCACAGCTAGAGTGGAGAACAGATTTAATTTTGCCTTCATATTTTCTTTTAAACGTGCCATAATTCCCAAACCCTACATTCCTGAGACACCATTTTTCATGACAAACGTAGGAAAACATCTCGTAGCTTGAAAGATAAAAAGAAATTAAGTAAAATAATTAAACAAAATGCCTCTTGAGGGCATGAAGTGACAAAAACTTTCAACATGTCTCCATTAAACTCCATTGTAAGTTCAGCCCAATCTTTCCCCACCACAGCAGCCGCACACCTTTAGTTAACCTGCCAAAAAGG